AGTGCAAGCCCGCTAAGGCAATCACAAGCTCAATACAAAGTAACCCAGGGATATCCTAGGCCTTCAATAGCCTTACTCCCGGACAAAGCAGTAGGCCCAAACCACAGCCTCACAAGAAAACAACTAGAGTGCCCTTGAATCTTGTGACCAAGTCCAACAATATATATGGACCCCTCCCAGGCCCAATAAATAATTTATTTACCCAAATAGATGCCAAATTTGACCAAATGAGTAACAAACGACTCATAGAATTAATTGAACAACTTAAACACTCATTTCTTACAAATATAACTAGCAGTAGCTCTAGTCAAGGTATATAAACAAGATCATGCTAAATTGGAAGGCATACAAGACACATATAAGGCAAGTTTATGCTTGTCATTCCAGAAAAGATATTAAGAGCAACAAGATTAACCATCGTAGGATAGTAGACTATTTCAAACAAAGTTTCAAGAAAAGCATGGTCCAAAATTATCCTAAAAGCCTTAGTCAGGGGTTTGAATATGAGAATCTAGCATTGTTATAGACAAGAGCAAGTGAAGTACAGTCTTAACATGGAGGCTTTGATATGAGAACATAATAAGAATGTGACAGCATAACAACATGCTAGTGGGCATAGTTTGGCAGACATATCACTTAATTGAATCATGAGGCTTAACATTCTGAGCATAGATCATAGCACAAAGACCCTAAAAGCTCATGTTAGGTAAAAGACTAAAATCATACATCAATTTTAGGCTAACAAGGGAAACAAACACCATGATTCATGCTAGTTGACTATACATAAGAGAAGAAGCTTAACGTTGAAATCTACCCTAGAGGATTTAGGCAGTGCTAAAGGATACAGGATTAACGAGTCGAGGAATACAATCACCAGAATTGCAAATAGCATAAAAACATGTTCAGCTGGACATTAAGACAGTATTGTAACATAGGATTCGAATGGTCATGGTCAGTTTGTAAAGAAACAGTTGATTAAACATAAAAGACTCAGCATAAAGGAATTCATTCAAGCAAGGAGATGATCCCCTAAGAGTTTCAGTATGAGAACCCAAGGCAGGGTATGAGAAGGATCTCATAACAAAAAATAGGTGATCGGAATAGTCAGAATTATTAAAGTTGCACACATATAATAGGCATGCATCGAAGCTTAAAGTTCAAATAGGTTCAGATGCTAGAAAAACATAGAGGCACAAAATTAATTCCAAAGGAAAACAAGAATACCAACAGAGACGAAAAATAGCATATTGATTCACAAAGGCCTAAATAAAATGAGCATACAAAGCATGAACACAAGCGAAAATAAAATTGCGAAAGTCTCAGTACTTACCAGTTTGCAGAACTAAAGAACAATTAAGGTAGAAAACTAAATGCCAACAGCAACTTGCTTATCAGTAGCAAAGAGAGAACGGCAGAAACCCTAAAATTCTCAGTGCGTCAGAGTTCTCAAGGGTCTCAGATGAACCCCGAGCAGTATTCACACTGAGAGAGGTTAAGCAATCGAATTCCGGTGGCCTTGGCTTTCAGCCGGCCAAGAACAATAGATTTAGAATAGTATCGAGTGAGTGAGAGTATGAGAGAATAGTCCTTCCAGACCGTTAAAGGGGATTAGAGAGAGGTTTATATAGTAGTGAAAATCGAACAAGCAAATTTAGAAAATAATTAATCAATCACAAAATAAGGAAAGAATATCACTTGCAATCAGTAATAGAACCGGTAAAGGGAAAATCAAAATTTCAAACCCTTGTTGAATCCAATGGCCATGAATCTGGTCGAAAATGCGAGAATCGTTCATTGTGGAGTATATCTAGATGAAATATCACCAAAGCTTCACAAAATTGGAGTCAATCAGGCCTGCTCTTGAAAGGAGTTCTTTCCAAAAATAGAGCAAGAAGTAAGTAACACCACATATGCTTATACAATAGCAAAGTGTCACAAAATAGATAAGTAAATCATAGATTGATTCCATTTTTAGGTTGGAATCAGAGAGAAAATCAGGAGGCGACCGCTAGGGTTTCTCAAAAGAGGAAAGGGGTTGAGAGGTTTTGAGGGCGGCTGATAGGGGAAAATGGGATTAGGGCTTGAGTCATGGGGATATAAGGAAAGGTGGGGAATTATTATGGGTCATTGATCATTTGAGATCAATGGCCAGGATCAAAAAGGAAAGTGGGGCAGGTCAGGAGATGGGTATAGGATAGTGGGCTACTGGTGCTGGGTTAAAGGGTATTGGGCCAAGGTTTTTGGTCCGAAAATTGACTCTATATTGGGCTAATAATTAAATACACAAAAATTGTTAAAAATAATAATTTGTAAAAATAATTAATAGATAATAAAATATTAATTGTACAATAAAATGATTGAAAATATTAACTTAGCATTTATAAAAATATAAAAATGCTATTATAGCATGAATAATGTAATAAATGTAATTATGCATGGAATATAGGCTATTATTGCAAAATTATGTAGATGGCTCAAAAAATGCAAAGATAATTATATGAAATGAAGTAAAATATTATAAAACATATATGTAGATGTAAATAATAAAATTAGATAATTAAGTCATCACAAAATAATTTGAAAGGGTAGTTAATAAATATTTAAATGCAAGAAAATCAATCCTAAGCTTTAAAAAATATGAAAATTATAGAAAATAATTGTATAGCTCTTGTAAATTAAGTAATGATGCAAAACTGATATTCTGAAAGTATATATACTATTTAAAAAAATTTGAGGGCAAAATTGGGTATCAACATGCACTAATTGAACTCAACTTGTTAGTTTAATTAGTTGTATTAATAAGTAAATTTTGGTTAAAGATTATGTTAGACCGAGCTTCATTACTTAGAAATTTGGCAGAATGATTAATTATTAATGGAAAATTCATATTCCTTTATGGGCTTACCTTGGGTTATAAACACGAAATTCGTAGTCCGAAGAGTTTTCCTATTTCCGTGGAGCGGGCCGAACGCCTTGGTATTATTTATATATAATGTGATGCATCCATGAATATGTACATAATTATTATGGATCGGTTCGTACGACCTCGACATAACTCGCGCGTGTTGTCGTTAGGAGTCCGATTATACTCGATATATCCTTCATGACTCAAATATTATAATTACTTGGTGCCCTTACTTGTTGAGATTAGAATGTGATATTTGGGAACTTTTAACTCGTTATTTTGTTAAAGAATCACTTATTTATTGCTTCTTATTTTATTATTTCCATTGTATTTCCTGCCTATTTATAATTCTTGCACTTTATGTACATTGACCACTAGTAAGTGTCGATGTAGACCCCTCGTCACTATTTCTTTGAGGTTAGACTAGATACTTACTGGGTACACATTGTTTACGTACTTATGCTACACTTCTGCACAAATTGTGCAGGTTATGAGGCAGGTACATCTGGTTCGTCTAGGCATGCATCCGCATTACCTGAAGGCCTAGTGGTGAGCCGCTTCCCATGCTCTGTTCTACAGCACTCGGAGCCTCCTCTTGTTGTATTTATTATTTCTGTTTATTTTATTTCAGACAGTAGTTGTAGGGAGTTTTATATATTTTACTAGATGCTTGTGTACTTGTTACACCGGGTTTTGGAAAATTCTAGTAGATATTCATGATTTTTATTATTAAATTCACTACTTTACTCTTATGTTTAGTTTATGCTTTGCATTACTACGAACACATGCTATTTGTTTCTTTATTAAATAAAAATTAATGACTTTAAAAATATTAAAATGAGCAATTAAATGGATAGTTCATCGTTGGCTTGCCTAACAGCGACATTGGGCGCCATCATGGCTTATAGTGGGAATTGGGTCGTGTTATACATTATCTGCAAATAAATACACCATGGAACCTCCATTTGAATGTGTCGCGTCAATGCGTCCATCGCCAGAAAAAATAAAAACGGACTAAGGGTTGATCCGTGATGCAACTCCATCTCAACCGGAAAGTGTCTTGAGTCTCCTCTAGTTGTCCTTACCCGTGTCTTAGATCCATCATACATGTCCATAATTACTCAAATGTATGTTACATGCACACCTTTAGCCCATAAACACCTCCATAGTACCTATCTCGGGACTTTGTAGCATGCTTTCTCTAGGTCAATAAACACAATAGGCAAGTCCTTTTACATTATCCTATACTGCTCTACCAATATTCTCACTGGATGAATGCTTTCCGTAGTTGAATGACCCGACATGAAACCGAACTGGTTTTCAGAAATATACACATTTCTCCGCACCTTCCCTTCTACCATCCTCTCCCAAACTTTCATTGTATGGCTTAGCAGCTTGATACCCTTATAGTTGTTGCAATTTTAGGTATCACCCTTGTCCTAAAAATAACGTTAAACAACCTAGAAAGTCATTCCAAGCCTGCCTTGACCGCACTCTTCTGGAATTCTACATGGATTTTGTCTGGCCCGGTCACTCTACCCTTGCTCATCTTGCACATAGCCCCTTCGACTTCCCCTACTCGTATGCACCTGCATTATCCAAAATCTCGATGACTCCCAGAGTGCTCCAAACCACCTAGCATAATATTCTTATCTTCCCCTTCATTCAAGAGTTTATGGAAGTATGATTGCCATCTCCGCCTAATTCGTGCCTCTTCCATCAAAACTCTACCCTATTCGTCTTTTATATACCTCACATGATCTAGGTCACTCACTTTTCTTTTTCTCACTTTGGCCAGCCTGTACAGCTTCTTATCCCCGCCTTTCTCTCCAAGCTCTTAATACAGATGTTCGAACGTTGCGGTCTTAGCCGTAGTAACTGCTAACTTCGCATCCCTCTTCGCTCCTTATACCACTCCCTATTGGCTCTCTTCTCCCCTTATCTATGATTTCTACTAGCTTCACATATGCCGTTTTCTTAACTTTCACTTTTCCTTGAACCTTTTCATTCTACCACTAGTCCGCTCTGCGGCTACCAGAGAAACCCTTTGAGACTCCCAACACCTCTCTCGCAGCTTCTCTAATACAGTTTGTTGTCATAGTCCACATGCAACTCGCATCCCCACTACTCCTCCAGGCCTCCATAGCCAGTAACTTCTCCCCAACTCCTCAGCTTTGTCCTTAGTCAAGGCACCCCACCTGATCCTAGGTAGACCAGACACTACCTTCTTTTTTCTTGTCCGCGTGATCGCCAAATCCATAACCAATAGCCCTTGTTGCATCGTGAGATTCTCACTCGGGATGACCTTGCAATCCATGCATAAACCTCTATCACATCTCCTAAGTAAAAGGTAATCAATTTGGGTTTTGGTCACTGTACTCTGAAAGGTGACCAGGTGCTCCTCCTTCTTTGGAAAACATGAGTTAGCAATCACCAAATCAAAGGCTTTAGCACACTCCAACAGCGAAGCTCCTCCTCCATTTTTGTCTCCAAAATTAAAGTCGCCATGCACATCGTCATAAGCCCCCGACGACGTCCCAATGTGGCCACTAAAATCTCCTCCTATGAGAGTAAATTAGTTGAATCCTAATTCATTTATATCACTACTAGAAATTCGGCAAAAACCGACCAAGTCGACCGACCAACTTTGGTCGGTCAAAAAACCGACCAAAAAACCAACCAAAGTTGGTCGGTTTTTCAAATTTTTTTTTTTTTTTACGAAACCGACCAACTTTGGTTGGTTTTTTGGTCGGTTTTTTGACCGACCAAAGTTGGTCGGTTTTTCAAATTTTTTTTTTTTTTTACGAAACCGACCAACTTTGGTTGGTTTTTTGGTCGGTTTTTTGACCGACCAAAGTTGGTCGGTTTTTCAAATTTTTTTTTTTTTTTACGAAACCGACCAACTTTGGTTGGTTTTTTGGTCGGTTTTTTGACCGACCAAAGTTGGTCGGTTTTTCAAATTTTTTTTTTTTTTTACGAAACCGACCAACTTTGGTTGGTTTTTTGGTCGGTTTTTTAATTAAAATAAATAAAAATTAATATTAAAAAAACCGACCAAAATTGGTCGGTTAATTCGGCGGGCCATTTAAAAAAAATTGACCAACTTTGATCGGTAATTTTACTTTTTAATAAAACCGACCAACTTTGGTCGGTTATTTTC